GAAAGTATATTGCTAAAATTAATTGTTAAAATTTTATTATAAAAATTAATTTTAAAAAAATTATGCAGACAAATTTGTCTGTGTTACAATCTAAGAGATAACATTTATTTACTTCATAATTCGAAAAATATTAATCAAGATGATGCTAAAGTTCTATAAATATAAGACAAACATTACTAATAGCCAGATAGAAGCTAGCAGATAACTATAATGTTGCCTAATATATTGGTTCAAGAAGTTCTAACATTGCATCTATTTGTTCTTACTCATTTACATCAAGCCACAAATCTTCAAGTTGCTTTTTATTTTTTACAACCAAATATTCTAGTATTTCTTTTATTTTATTAAACTTTTACAATATTAAAAATATACTATTCTAACAGGTATCAATATCAAGCTTTGGTTTTAAGTACTTAACTTTTTGTATAGCATAAATATTTTGTAAAGAGTTATAAAGTAATTAGGAATAGCATACTTTTTTTATAAAGTTTTTGACTTTTTTAATAATTATTGTTTCAAGTTGCATATCATATTTTACTGCAATATTTAAAATATGTGCAATGCATTTATAATGCATGTATTCATAATGTTCCAAAAATGAAAGAGCTACTTGCAATTCATGTCCTGCAACAATTATGCTTGCATTATTGTCAGTGATAAGTTCAATAATGCATTATGTAACTTTAAATTTATCAAAAGCATTAGAAACAAGTTTTTAGTTTGTATTTCATAATGATGATCTGGATAATGTATTAAATTAAGAAAAAAGCTTTGTGTTTCCTAATTATCATCGATATAATGTGCAGTTACTTCAAGGTATGATTAATTGGATATAGAGATTCATATATCATATGTAACAGAAACTTTTGAATTAATATTTTTAAATAAATTTATTATTTTTTTATGTGTATTCTTAAACTGATTTATTATTTCACTACTTAATATTTGTCAGCAAAAAACATGATATTGTAGATCAAGAATACTAAGCATTTCTTTAAAATATTTATTGTCTACAACAGAAAAAGATAATTGACAATATACAATAAAACCAACCATCTTTTTATTAATTTTATTTACTTGTTTTTTCTCTTTTGATGTATATAGTATAGCTGCAAAACATAAGAGTGTCTGCTGTTTTAAAGAGATATTCTTTTTATATTTATTGTTAAAATAAGTTGCTAAAGTTCTTGTTGTGTTATTCAGTTTTCATTTTTGCTTGCAAATATTGCCAACTACTGCAACTACTTTATTTTTTTTTTTTAAAAAAAAAAAACTCTTTTACAATAGATGTGCATTAACTAGTTCTTTTTAAAACATAATTAGAAGAAATGTTACTATTACTAGAATCAATAGTAGGATTTATATTTTTATTATTAGCAATATTTTTATTATTATTAGCAGTGAAACTTGTATCCTTATTATCATCAAAAGTAAAGCTAATATCCTTATCACTATTAATAATAAAATCTGTATTTCTATTATTAACAATAATACAGTTATCTTTGAAGCTAATATTCTTACTAGTCTTAATAGCAAGACTCATATCTTTATCAGTATCTACAATATCTAAGTTATTATATGTTTTTTTAAACATTTGATGTTTTAATATTTGATCTTCTAAGTTGAATGTTTGATTTTTTTTTAAATTTTTTTTTAATTATATTACAGATGAGTTTTTCTTCTATAATTATTAATTTGATACTTGTAAAAATAATTTTTTTGTTTATTTGTTATATTACTATTACTACTAATTATTTTCGCAATTTTCATAATCATCAATTTGACAAGACTTTTTTTATAGTTTACATTTTTTATAATTATGTAGTTTGTTAAAAACTGAATGCTTATTATTCAGTTATTATAGAGAACATGTGTTTGGTGTGACAAAAAAGAATAGATGTATATACAAAGCTTGTTTAAAAACAATATTAGAAATGTAAAAGAATAACATAATATTTATATCATCAATGAAATAAGGTTTGCCTAATGTGAAAAATACCTATCTAAAATGTTAGAAATGATATTATTATTATTATTATTACAATTACAAAATTAACAATTGAAAATTAAAAAAAAAAATAAGTTTATTATTATAAAAAGGTAATTTATTCAACAGCTAAAAATTTTATTGCTTTATGTAGAACCTCTAGTTTGTTTAAATAATGCTAAGGCTGAATTTGGTATTTATAAGAAATATGCATATGTATATACATATGTATATATAAACTTTATATCAAATATCAGATAAGCAAACACCAAGAGTTTTAGGATAGGTTCTAAAAGTAGTTTGGCATAACTTTTATATTATCTACTATTTTAATGAAGAATTATATAATGCTGTTACTACATATTAATCTATCGATCTAGAAGAGCAGTAAATAAGAAGTAGAAGTTAAACAAGACTATTTATCAACAATTTTAGATATATAGCTTGTATTAAAAGTAAATAATAGTTTGAATTAAAAATTATAATGCTGATATATACAGTTATATAATAAATTGCTTAAGAGTAATAAATAGTTTAAGTATAATAAATAGTTTAAATATAATAAATAGTTTAAATGTAATAAATAATTTAATATATAACAATAAATAGTTTAATATATAGCAATAAATAGTTTACTACTATTATCATAATTCTTAAAACATCTGATAATTTTGAAATATCCCAATTTTGTCTAGTAAATTATTTTACTTTTCAGAAACTGTATTACTGTTTTCAAATTGAAAGTCTGAAAACAGTAATATAGTTCTGAAAGATTAGATAATTTACCAGACAAGTCTAGGAATATTTCGAAATTATCAGATGTTTCAGAAATAATAATAGCAGTAAAAGCAATAAATAATTTAAGTAAATAGTGTTTTAATATATTATAATACTTCAGAGTATAAACCATTATATATTAATAGTATTACTTTAAAGTATTTACTTCTATTAATAATATCTTAATAATTCAGAATAGTGTAATATCTAAACTACACTAGTATGAAGTGGAATATACTTTGGAGTTATTTCAAAGTAGTGTTTTTATGAACCTGAACTGAACTAAACTTTGATCAAGTTTAGGTTTAAGTTTAGTTCAATACTGAACCTGAACTTGAACTTTTTCTAAAAAAAAGTTTAGTTCAGGTTCAGTATTAAACTTTTAATTTAAGTTCAGATTTAGTTTAGATTCATAAATTTTAAGTTCAGTTCAGGTTCAGGTTTAATAATCTGCAAAATTTAAAGTTTAGTTCAGGTTCAGGTTCAATGATCTGCAAATTTTAATGTTTAGTTTAGGTTAAATAAACTTGGTTCATAATCTAAACTAAACTAGAAACACTAATTTTAAATTTTTTCATCAAAAAATTAAAAATTAAGCATCTTTTTTTTAAAGTTAAAAAATAAAAAATAAATATATATTGCTATGATGTATTTTTATATGTAGAACAAAGTTACTTAAAGAATAAAAATAGAATTAATTAGTAAAATTTTGAGAATTATAATATTTTTTATAATTTTATTAATAAAATTATGAAAATTGTTATAATTCTTGAAATTTACTAATTAATTCTATTTTTATTTTTAAGTAACTTTGTTCTATATATAAAAATACATTATGTTAGTATATATTTATTTTATAATTTTTAGTTCTAAAGGAAAGATGTTTAATTTTAGATTTTTGATGAAAAAATTTAAAATTAAATATTTTTTCTATAAATTTAAAAAATATAAAGTAAATATATGCCAATATAATGTATTTTTATATCAAAAGTTAACAATTCCTGCTAATTCTTTGTTCCAATAATGGACAAGACAAAAATAGTAGAAGCAAGCAAGAACTAACTTAGAAAACCTGTTCTGACAACTTAAAAAAAAGAAAATAGACCAAAAACAACATTAAGTTTGATAGAAGCTCTTCTTTTTTTTAAGTCAAATACAAAGTACAAAAGAACAATTTAATTTTTTTTCTTGAAATTTTTTTTAAAAATTTGAAAAATTGGCAGCATCTTAGATGGCAGATAAAATTAGGTAGCACAAAAACATGTAAACAACAAAGTAAACAAACAATAGATTACATTCTCTTTTTGGTTAGATAATAGATTACAAGAAAACAATAATTATGCAATTAAACAACAACAGAAAAGCACGTGGCTCTTTTTAGAAAAATCTAGAAAAATATTACTAGTAGATATTAGTTAATTATCATTTAAGTGCAGATTAGAAGATAAGCAAGTAATTCAAGCAGAAGCTATTTAAGTTTATTTGTGAAGCAGACAAAAAAAACCTTAGTTACTTAGACAGCAATATGTTAACTAAAGCACTAAAAGATACAACACTATATAGTTCAAACAATATAAAACAAATAGCATACAGTATAGCAATTGGTAATCTAAACAAAATTACAAAACAGGATCTGTTAATTTATGGTTAAGTTCTCAAAGTGTTAAGGCAAATTGAAACTAGAAGTCTTAAAAAAACATTAATTGAAAAATAAGCAATAAAAGCAAAAACAAGAAGAACCTACAGTTGAAACAACAGAAGAAAACAGTTAAAAATTATCAATAACATGAAAGACCTTGCTATTGCTATAGAAGCTAGCACATCAAACCAAAACTACTGATCAACAAATCTTAAAAAGTCAGCTGTCAAGATTAGTAAAAATGAAAACAAAGGTAAAAATAGTAGAATAGTTTCAAAGGCAGAATGCATAAAGCCAAATCAAAATAACTCTGACTTCATTAATGAAAAAAAAAATACTAAAGATCAAAAAACAAACACAAAAAAACTAATCAACTTAGCACTATTAGAAGATAGTCTTCAGTCATCACAAAATAGATTATATAACAAAGAAAACTTATTTAAAGCAAAAATTTCAATATACAGAATTCTAAGTGAAACAAAAGAGTACAAAATTAATTTTAAAAATGAGTACTTAGAAATGACAAACACATCAAAGAGATAAAAAAAAGTTTTTAGAATAGAAATAATTAGATTATAGTAGACTTTGATTGCAAATATAGCAGAAAAACAACAAGTGTGAAAGTATTAAGAAAAGAAGTTAATTAATGTAAACTCATCCTTATAGAAACAGAAAAACAAAAAAATAATCTTAGTTATAATACAAATAGAAGATGACAAACACAAAATTTTAAAAACAGCATAGTTAAATGAACAGCACTAAATTTATAAAAGACTGAATTTAGATGGCATCTTACAAAGTAAACAAGCTATATCAATTCATATCAAAAAAGAAAAAAGAAGATGAAGAACCCAAATTATTTAACTATATAGAATTTATTAGCAAACATTAGTTATGAAGAAATTAAATTTATGTATAGAAGTATTAGAAATGCAAAAGTTGTAAGAATTAAAAGATCTCAGTTTAAAGCACTAGCAATAATTAAAACAATAATCAGAAACTATACAAAAATGCCTTAGTTACTCCCATTAGATAACAACAAATTAGTATAAGTAACACAAGGTGAAGAAGATTATGAGCAAAGAAATAAACATAGTTGCTTTACAGCAAAACTATTAAAAGTATCCAAAGGAGCTTCTGAAGTTCTTTTGCTAAGAAGCCTTAAAAATAAAAAAGCAAAATCAGTGTTTATGCCAATTAATAGCAATGGTAACCCCAAAGGGTTTGCAATTGTTACTTTTGCAAACCAAGAAGATTTATAATTAGCACAATCAAAACCATTTCGATACTATAATTACTTAATTATTTAGGAAGATTTCAAAACAAGAAAAGCAACAAAAGAAAAAAGTAAACTATTAAGAAAGAAAAGTTGAATCAACAAAGAAGAGGACAGCCAAAAAATGGAATACAAATATAGCACAAAGAATTTAAACAAGAATTCTAGAACCAATCAAAAAAAAAAATACAAAGAATTACCAAGAAAAAAAAAAAACTATCAATTGAAGACTTGCTATTAGAAATTATTAGCAGACTAGACAAACTTGAAGTATAGCATAAAGCAAAACTCAAGTTAGAAAGCTCTAGTCTTGCAAATTGTTCCTAGAAATTACCAAGATTAAACCAACAATTTCAAATATAGAGTCAAGCTCCTCATTGCAAAATAGAAGGAAAAAAACTAACTTAACACAAAAAAATGCTTTATATTTGGATAAAGAAACAAAAGATAATAAAAAAGAGTTACTAGAGATAGGAAGAATATATATGAATAAAAGAATTGAATTAAATTTAGCAACACACAATATTAATAGGCTTAAATCAAATAGCTAAAAGTTAAAATCACTATATAATTAGTTAATTGACAATGAACTAAACATAGTAGATTTAGCAGAAACAAACATTTCAGTTAAAGAAGATTTCTTTTTAAAAAAAAATTTAGAAGAGTACAAAAGCATCTGGTCAAGTACAAATCCTAATAAGAAAAAAGGTTCAGAAATAGGATTATTAATTAATCAAAAATAAGAAAAACACTTAGGTCATATAAAAAGAATAAATAAATATATAATTTTTGTGAGCTTCTTCTTTAAGCAGATAGAAATTATAATTATAATGGCCTACCTACTACCAAATGATAAAGAAGAAAAAAAAATAATTCAGAAGTTAATAATTAACAAATATGTTAAAAAACTGTTAAGAACACAAATAGTAGTTATGGGTAACTTTAATACAACAATAAATTTGAACTTAAACAGACTAATAAATCTAAAAAAAAAACAAATAAAGCCAGATCCATTACTCAGCTGGTTAGAAAGATAAGAGTTTAGTGATATATTTAGAATAATTAATCCAAATACAAGAGAGTTCTTATGATCTGGACATGGATCAGAATCAAGAATTGATTACATTTGGGTTACAGAAGAGTTAGCAGATAGTCTTTATGAAGCAGAAATTCAAGAAATAGACACTTGTACAAATAGTGACCACAAGGCAGTTATAGCAAAAATAGAATTAAGTCACTTAATTACACCATACAGTGTAGCAGAAATAAGAAAAGAAAATCATAAAAGAACAGTCTTTCTTTATGATAAAGTAACCAAAAAAGACTAGGAAAAGTATAAACAAAAGCTTGATTCAGTATTAGAAAAGAAAATTAGCATTCAAGATTTGCAATAGTTTTCATAGACAAATAAAGATATTAAAGAATATGACTAATTAAATAACTAGTAGAATATAATTAGCAATAGCATTATTGCAATAGCAAGAAAATATATTTCCAAAAAGGAATATTTCTAATATTTTAAATGAAAAAAAAGAAAATGAAAGAATCTCAACTAGGCAAAACATTTACACAATTGGGAAGATGGATTAGTATAGAAAAAATAAACATCAAACTAGGGTTTTTAGAAGATAACATAGATAAGCTAAATGAAGAAATCAGATTTATCAATAAATGTTATAAAACTTATATAGACTTAGTACAATTATGGACATATGAGCTTAGGGGTGCATTGTTTATTATGTAATTTTTTAGGGGGGAAGAGGTGGTAGAGATTTATCACGTCTATATTAGCCTCAGTATTTGATTGGTTCTTTTAATTATGTGAAATTTCAATTATAACAGATAAAATCATCAAAATTTGTACGTATGTACGTACTGTATATACTATATACTATATACTTGCAATATATAATGATAATAAATTTTATTTGATCTTGTTATTTAATCAAGTTAATTACATTTAAATAAAAAGTATTTTACATATTAATCAATATCAGAACATGACAAGATTAATAGTTTATTTGTGAGGTGAATCATTTATTAGCAAAAAAAGAGGCATTATTCTTATTCTAAACTTCATTTTTTTTATAAGGCATATACTGATCATTTTTATTTCTTTTTGTCTTTTATTTATATGATATGATTTAGTCGCTGCCTATTACTGAAATAAGGAATAAAGAAGAGAATTAAGTATAATAAAATAATAAATTAATTCAATATTAGTTAATTAACTACTTATGATTTTATTTAATATCAGAAAGTGCCTCTAGTAAATTAGAAGTTTCAAATTTGTGTAAAAAACCAAGAAAAGGTAAATTGATGAAGTCTTCCAAAATAGCTGCATTACTTAATTCAATTTGTTGGGTATCAAAAGAATCTAACATTGCATTAATTTCTTCTGCAGACAAATATGTCACTATGGAACTTGAAGGATAAATTAAATAAGCAGATAACATGTCAGTTGTAGATTCAATTGAAGATTGTGCAAAGGTCTGATTTGTATTTTGTTTGTGTGCTTTTTTAGGATGATTTGCTTTTTTATAGTTGGATATCATTTCATAGTAGGAAAATATTTGTTGTACACATTGCAACAAAGCCTCTTATGCATCTGTGATGAAATTGAAGGACATATTTCATTATAGTTGGGTATCTTTATTTTATCTATATATTGCAAAATATGAATTGGATTCAAATAATAATTATCTTTTTCTTTAACTAATGGCAGAAGAAATCCATTATTCTCTCTTAACAGATCAAATGCCTCCTTTGTATAGATTTCATTACAGCAATTTTGGTTAGAGCACTTTCATATGTCGAGGGAGTAGCAGCAAATTTGTATATGACTTTTTATCTACAACTATGATGGAATTTCTTTTCCATTGTTTTGAAATAGGTTTTCATTATAGTTAACATAATCAACGTATACTTGCTTTTCATAAATCTTATCACGCTTCCAAATTTCATATAAACACTTACCAGCAAATTCAAAATTATGCCTTGCCAAATCTTTATCTATAACTACTCCTTGGCTATTAAGATATGATCCAAATCTATCAACTGATAATTTAATTCTGGCAAGCTTTTCAGAAAGCATATACATACTGTGCTCAACTGGGTTATACACAGACTGGTAAAGGGCATGCATTCGAACTGATAAATAGTCTAAATTAAGCTCATAAAAAAAGCAACAATATTTAATTATATTTTTTAAATGTTTAGGATTTTCGTCAGGTCCACCATCTACTAACAAAATCCATATAGACTTAAGATGTTCATCATGTTTTAGTATTTTTGCATACTTATTATGCTTTGTAATATCAAGTAAGTCTTTCATATGTGTTATTAAAGAAGTTTCTACAAAATATTCAAGACAAATATAAATAGATAGTTGACCTTGATGCAGAGACTCATTAGTATTTTTAGGATTAATAATTAGGTAAACTGATGGTATAAGTTTTTGTTTTACTCCACGAGAGAAATTATGGTCAGAGACAGTAATAGGTTCATTAAAAGATTGTATGCTTTAAAAAGTTCTACCAACTGCTGGTATACCTAAGCCAACTTTAGCCTTATCATCTTGCGAGATAATAATGCTAAAGTTGGCAAAGGTTGATGCAAACACTCTAACTGATTTAACTGATGCAAGACAATAATGTTCGTCAATATGAGGTTTCATCTCAGACCTAGAAACTGTACTAGTTTTGATATTTACAAGATAGCAGGGACGAAGTGCATTACATGTATTGGCATGTCAAAGCAAAAGATAAGTTGAAAATATTTGTCGAGTAATATTAATATTGTATTTTTCTTATAATGCCTCTTTTAAATGCTTAATAGTTCAAACCTTTATTACAGTTTTTCTTCTTTTTTTATCAGCTGCACCAAATTCAACGCATTCATGTATTTGGTTAAGTAAGTCTGGATTTTTTTGAAGTTCAGACAGACATCTTCTAGTATCATATATTTCAACAATCTCATCTTCAAGTTGTTTTTTCTCTTTTCTCGAATTCTCCCTTGAGCTGTGGCATGATTTTGAAGCAAATTAAAATGCTTTTTTTCTTTTGCAATAGTTTTACAAACATCCTTTAATTTTTTACTGATTTAAAGTTAAAGATCTTTGTTACTAGTATGAATCAATAGGGTTTCATATTCACTTATTTTAGATTTTGCATCTTGAATTAATTCCAAAGCTTGACATTAAGCTGATGCATTAGGTGCAATAATAGGCATTTCATTAAACGAAGAAGGTAGAGGATTGGTACTAGAATTGGTGTTGAAATTAATGTTAGGATTTGAATTTGATGATCTTGAATTAGGTAAATTCGGGGGGAGAAAAAAGTTTGCTATCCGAATAATTGGTGAACTTGCTGCAAGATATTGGTTAATTAGTTTTTTAATTTTTATCTTAGATTCTTTTCGACATTTTTGCCATTCTTTATTTGCCATATTCATTAAATCCTGCCATTTTATATTCAGATCACAAGCTTTAACTATCATAAAATAAGCAAAGGCATTACAGAATTCATGGTACAAGATTTTAGAAGTAGCATATAGATGAGTTTTTGGAAACTTGGGCATAGAAAGAAAACTTTGGCTCATTTTGAACAATGGTGCTTTTAATACTAAAGATAAGAAAAAAGCTATATACTATCAAGCTATTAATCTGAATTTGGAATACTTATACTAATTTTATTTTTATACTTTTTTTTTTCTTTACAAACTCTACCACCTTCAATCTTATCTATGTTATGCTATGAACATGAGATCTCTAGTTTAATAAGGCTTTGAGCTTAGTAATGGGAAATAATTTATTTAGTTTTATATTTCTTTCCCATTAATTGGATTTTTTTCTTGTTAGATTTTTTTTGCTTCTTTTTTATGAATTCGAAGATTTATTCGAATTTACTTTAGATTTTCATATTTTTTTTTTGCTAAGCCTTTAATAGCTTCAACTATTTTGGTATCACTGCTTTCATCTTGTTTGCTATTATATGAGTGATTATGAATTGCATTACTTGACTTTTAGAGTTAATGGTTTCGAAACATATTGACTTTGGAATCATGAGACAAAATCATGTGCTATCATGTGAGATTAGCATATAGACATGCTTTTTACAGCACATTCTAGTTAATGGGACTTTTATATCAAAAGGTAAATTTCTATTTATTTGTCTAAGCTACTTTTATTCTATGATTCATGAAATTTGATTTTATAATCAAGGTAATGTTAATCTTTTCTTTATTTGTATCATTGCACTACTGAAATCTAACTTCAACATTAATTTAATTTATCTGTTTCGAATTAAATTTTACCAATTAGGATCACGAATATGAATATTTCCAAATTTTAAATGACATTTACAAGTTTTTGGCCTTATAAATATGATTATTATGAGGTGTAATTATACATGCCACAGAAATTAGTTTCGGTTGCGCTGAAAGTATTAGGCACCAATTTTTCAGCCGAAGTCATAATTTATGCCACAATCTGAAGCAAAAACTGCAAGTTATAATTTATGCCACAATCTGAAACAAAAGCTGAAATCCAAAATATATATCATTTTGTTTTTAACATCACTATATCAATCGATAGTATATCAATTATACTTTATACTTTATTACTTTTGACATTATATCAATTATACTTTATTACTTTCAGCACTATATCAATTATATTTTATTACTTTCGGCACTATATTAATTATACTTTATTATTTTTGGCACTATATCAATTATACTTTATTACTTTTGGCACTTATGATATGACTTTAGGCATTGATCATAAGTTGTGGCATGAATTTTAGATTTAGGCATTAATCATAAGTTATGGCATGAATTTTAGATTTAGGTATTGCCACATGTCACAATTCAGGTAAAAATTATATTGCAATAGTTTCTACAGCATGTATAGGTGCGATCACTCTAATTGAATCCTCCAAAAGGGTAAATTAGTGTGAGCATATTCATAGTTATAAATTAAATTCTGAATTATATAATCAGATTAATGTATTTTGTCAAATTTTAATCATATTAGCAAAATTACCTATATTGTGTATTGTTAAGTTGATACTAAAATTGCATTATTTGAATTTGATTGGTTTTTTTTTAACATTTTTTGTTGGAGTAATTTTAATTTTGGATAATTTTACAATTTGATTGGCCAATGGTCATATGATTGAACATAGTTTTAAAATATAGTATTACCTAGAAGTAGGGGCCTGCAAATTGCCTATTTTTGAGGCCCGGCCCGGCCCGCAATTAGGGTTAAAAATTTTTTTTAGGCCC